GTAATGAAGTTTTCTTGGAGAAAATGTTATCAAACAGTAAAAAGCACCTGTCTTGGGTAGGTGGAGCCAACTTTATTTAGGTTATTTTTACACAGTAAATGTCACCTTCACTTTCTTGGTGTGCATCAACTATCTAATTAAACTGCAGCACTTATAATTCTGAATGGCTGTATTCTTCCTGTGAGAAGGTAAATTGTGTTTTGCTATTCCAGATGTCTCTAAGACTATAGTTTTATATTTTAGAGCTAGTAATTAAAGTGAAACCAACATGAGAAATGTGATTTGCATTGCTCTAAACCTGCAATTTTGGTTCGAAAGTGACTTGCCTAACTGAAGTGCTGATAACAATTTCCAATGAGATTATTTTTTGACAGCGATATTTGGCTAAAGTAGCCATAAGAGACATGTCACTTTGGAATCACAAGGCTACTGATTATCCAATAATGGGGGGGGTGGTTGGGGAGGAAGCATTTACTTTTAGCGTCGTTCCAGTCTGGGGAGTCGGATGGCAATTTCCTTAGGTAGTCCTTCAGGAGCATTTCATACCGGGGAATCCGCTGAACAGGTTCTAGCATGTGATGCTGCAAAGTTAAGCTCCCACAGATTTTCTGTTTCTGTAATGAGAAAGGTTTTTAAACATTTAAAAAATAGGTCAGTCTAAAAACTCACTCTAATACAGAATTTTCATTAAGGGCAATATTTTCAACAAAATATAGTTAAGCATCACCTGCATTAGATATATCTGGTATTCTTTTAAAAATGCAGATTTCTGAACCCCATGCCAACCTGTGAAATCACAATCTTTGGGGAAAGAGCCTGAGAATATGCTTTTAAAAACTCCCCATATTCTTGTAACATTAAAGAAAATTCCCGATTGCTGGCAATCATTTCAATTGGTCACTATAAGGGTTTGTGAAGTCACATTATTAAATCACTCTACAGAGATTTTCAAAAGATGTGCCTGTTTAATGAGGTTCAATAAGCAAAACTGCATTAAATGACTTTGGATTCAGCAGAAAGTTTTCATAATAAGGCTGTCATAAATGTCATTTCCTTTGAATTTAAGAAAGACTTCATACAGAAAAATGACAAGATCTGGGCATCTTGTTATCTATCAGGAAATTTTCATTATTAGGTCAAGGCATTCTTTTTCATTAGAAACCAAACTCTGTAAATAGAACTCCATTTCTTAGGGCAATATTAAGTCTATATCACTTGCTTTCGGTAAGCTGTTAAGAGAAGAAAAATAAGATATGTTCTTGTTCATATTAAACAAAGCAGAAATCACATTAAAATATTTACTGAACCATGCCATGATCAAGGCACTGCGGCGTATAACTGCGGAGTATAAAAATTATATTAAGACATGGTGTTTGCATTTAAAGCGAACAAGTAACTAAAGGCTTCACAGAGAAGGAAACATTTAATACATCTGATGAGTGCAGGCTCTGGTGGGAAGGGAAGTGAGAATGACTAGGAAGCAAGTCCAGAAAGACAAACCTGAGACAATAGGCCCAAGGCAATGGAGCATGAAACACGTTCAATAAAAAGGGGAGGTTGAGTGTTCTTGGCAAATACGATAAGTATAGGGAAACAGTGGATAAGGCAGAAAAGGCAAGACAAAGTAATGTCAAGAATCTTTAGAGCCCGAGTTTAGATTTGCTTCATCTAGTAATGCAGGTTTTTGTGCAAGGGAGTGACATCATTAGATCTGAAGCTCTATTAGATTAACCTACTGCATTGTGGCTTTAGGGGGATTTGAGGAAAATAGCATGGAAGTTATTAATATTATTGTAGACTAGTATTAATAAGAAAGTAATAAGCACCTGAAACTGGCATGGACACTGAGGGAATAACAGTTTTCCTTAATAAAGTGTAAGATAAATAATTTTAAAAGTTTAATTATCTCATTTGATTTTCCCCAACAAACCTAATATATATCGAGGAAAATATTACTGATTCCAAAATTTCTACATGAAGAAACTGTGGCTCAGAGAAATTAGGAGCGAGTTCTAAGGTCAAGCGACTATAAGTAGCAGATTAGAATTCTAAACTAGGTTAGCTGATTCCCAACTGACCACTCTTTTTACAGTACATGTCACTTTCTTATAACATGGAGAAGATAGACATTGCAGAGACAGAATTTAGAGTTTGATAAAATAACTACCTCCATTGCCACCATGATTTAGTGAGCACTTACTATGCAACAAGCACCTTGAATGCATTATCTCACAGAAAAATGAATACATACAGAGAATGAAGAAAAGTAACAAATCAAGCGCTGGTAAATGAGAGAATAATGGTGTCATCTAATAAATCGCATATCAGAATTATTACGTACTCTGTGCAAGGCACAAAAATTCACATGATAAATTTATCATGTTTGGGAGCTAAAGATAGGAATAAAACATGTTGACTTTGTTTTGATGACAAGATGTTCATACAGAATTGTGTAAATAGCACTTGGCCATTTTTAACTGTGGTTTGGGGATAAAGGACTAGAATAGAAACATTGACCCTAGAGGCATCTGTCTGGCATGACGGTTAAAGGTGTAGGGAAATAGCATATCACTGAGGGTATGAAGAGAAAGAAGACCGTGGAAGACAAACCTTGTCCTCTCCCCACATTTTAGCATTGGCAAAAAGGGCTAGTGAAAGAAGGAGCCAGTGTTCAGAAAGGTACTTGAGTGCTTAATCACGATGGAAAAGAATGTTAACAAAGGGAGTGAAGGGGATGGGGCAGAACTTCTGGTGATGGCCAAGTGAGGTGACCAGCAACGCGCCCCCGCCATGAAAAGTGACTATAAAGCTGGATAAAATTGACAAAACAACCATTTCAGCATTTTAGAAATTGATCAAAGGCATCGACAATCTGAAATATGTTTAAGCTTTAAAAACTGGTGAACTATGGACAAGAACAGTGAGATTCTGTGGCATTCTAGCCCAGGGCTGCTCCCCTTCCTTCTCCAGCTCAGTATGAAGGCTCTGCCAGGCAGGTGCAGGCTGTGAGGACTGGCAGCTTCTCTGCTGAGGCTGAAACGGGCTCATTCAATTTGCAGTGCTGGGCAATGTGCACACCCAGCCACGTCATCAGCAGAAGTGAAGATCTCTGAGGTGGGTGAGTGGGGAAAGACACTCTACTAGCCCTGCGGTCGTGGGAGGGATAATCATATTACTGGCTAAAGCTGTGTGAATGATCGGCTGAGAGCAGAGAGGGCCCAAGCCAGCACACTCTCCCGGGCTGCCCTAAGGCTGTGCACATGTGGATAGGAGATGTGAAAGGGCCGGCGCAGTGGACTTGGGCAATCCCTAGAAAGCCAGGTTCACAAATAAACACGTTAAAAAAAAAAAAAAAAAAATAAGCGGAGACATCAGTGACTGTACCCCAGAGGAGAGAGAGATTTTACAGATTTAGTCTAAGCAAG